GAGAAGAAATAGTTTTTTCCATACGCATTTGAAGAATGAAATTGCTATTTACTGTGAGGTTAATGGCGGGAAGATCTGTCTTGAGGGGCAAAAAAACCAAGAGTTCAGTTTTGGAAAAGTTAATTTAAAGATGTCTTTTAGAAACCCAAGTGCAGATGTTGAGTGAGAAGCTGGACATATGAGACTGCGAGTCAGGGAATGGTCTTGGCCTGTGAGAGAAAGTTAAAAGTCATAAAGTAAAAACGGTATTAAAAACTGTACATCTCGATAAAGTTGTTGCTTAGACAGGAGTAAATCAAGGAGAGTTGAGATCTGAGGACTGAGCCCTGGCGAACGTCTCAGAGTAAAGGTGGGAAAATGAAAAAGACTTAGAAATAAAGACTGAGAAGAAGCAATTACGAGGTTGGAGAACAACCAAGAAAGTGTAGTGACCTGGAAGCCAAATGAGACGTATTTCAAGGAGGAGAGGGTGATCACATTTGCAACTGACAGGACCACTTAGGTAAACACTAAAATCACCATGGATCTTGAAAAGAGCTGTTTGCACAGAATAGTGGATTAGCGTATTGGTTATGTATTGCTGCGTAACAAATTCTCCAGAACTTAGCAATTAAAAGCAACAAATACTGATTATCTAACATCTTCAGTGGGTCAGGAATCCGAGTGTGGCTTAGCGGGTGCCTCTGACTCATGATTTCTTATAAGGCTGCAACCAAGGTGTCAGCTGGGGCTAGAGGCTTCTCGAGGCTCGACTTGGATGGTTCACTTCCAAGCTTGCTCAAGTGGCTGTTGGCAGGCCTCAGATCCTTGTTGGCTATTGGCCTAAGACATCTATTCCTGGCCAAGGGGCAGCCTGCTTCTCCCAGAGCAAGGAATCTGAGAGAAGGCAAGAGAGAGCAGCCTGGAATGATAGCTACAATCTTTTATAATATAATCTCTGAAGTGACATCTCATCACTTCTTTAAAAGACTTTATTTTTCAGAGCAGTATGAAGTTCATAGAAAAACTGGGCAGGCAGTGGGGAGAGTTCCCACATCCTCGCTGCACGTACGGCCTCCCCCACTACCACCATTCCGCACACATCATTACCGACCAAAGTCTATAGTTTACATTAGGATTCATCTGCCTTGTACATTTTATAGGTTTTGATAAATGTATAATACATCTATCCATCCTTATATCATACAGAGTAGTTTCACTGCCCTAAAAATACCCTGTGCTCTACCTATTCACCCGCCCTGCGCCTAAAACTCTGGCTACCGTTGATCACTGATCTTTTTACTGCTTCCGTACTTCTGTCTTTTCTGAAGTGTCATATAGTTGGAATCATACAGTAGGTAAACTTTTCAGATTGGCTTCTTTCACATATTACTATGCCTTTAAGTTCCTCCATGTCTTTTCATGGTTTGATAGCTCATTTCTTTTTAGCACAGAATAGTGTTCTATCATCTGGAGGTACCAGTTTATTTACTCATTCAGCTGTTGAAGGACGTCTTGGTTCAGAGTTTTGACAATTATGAATAAAGCTACAATAAACATCCACGTGTAGAGTTTTGTGTGGACATAAGTTTTCAGCTCCTCTGAGTAAATTCCAAGGAGTTCAATTGCTGGGTTATATGGCAAGAGTAGGTTTTGTAAAGAACCATCAAACTGTCTTCGAAAGTCGCTGTACCATTTTGAATTCCCACCAGCAAGGAATGAAAGTTCCTGCTGTTCCTCATCATCAGCATTTGATGTTGTCAGTGTTTTGGATAATAGATGTAAAGCAGTATCGCATTGTTTTAATTTTCATTCCCTAATGACACATGATGTGGAGCATCTTTTCATATGCCATCCCATAACTTTTGCTGATTCTATTCATTAAAAGAAATGCACTAGGCCAGCCCACACTCAAGGGGAGGTGATCACACAAGGAGATGTCATCGAGGACCCTCTCAGTGGCTGCCCAACATAATTCCATTCAGAGAAGAATTGAGGAGAAGAATTAAAGACAAACATGGACAATGCTTTTGAAGAGTTTCACTACAAAGAGAAACGAAGAAATGAGGGGTTAGTTGCAAAAAGGTGCGGAGTTAAAGAATGTTTTTATTTTACTTATTTTACAACGAACCAGATCATTCTTATCAATAAAGGTGACATACTGAATATGTAACTAAATAGAATTCTATTTTATGTCTTAATTCAGATGTTTCCTAGAAAAAAAAAAATTGTGCCCGACAATACTTAGGTTTGTAAACAATAAACCTGAGAGAGGACTTTTCAATTACTCTATCCGTACCCAGGTGGGGGTTCATATCCCAGGGCTTCCAGGAAACTTAGTTACACACCCTCTAATTACAGTCACACGGGTTTATTCAGGCAGATAAAACCAACAGGCCTCAGCAAGGGCAGACGTTCTCTCTTGACTTGAAAACAAGCCTACAGCTGCTTAGAAAAGGCAGGGTGCTGGGCCAAGACCTGCATACGGCCAACGGCCCAGTGACACCAATTAAAGTGTTACCCAACTAGAGTGATCATTTAAATCATAGATGTCTACAGTTGCTTTATCTTCTGACTCTACACTACAGAAATGCAATAAAATGTGCACTAAACACAAAGACAAAAGTAAATGAATGGGCCAACTAATTTATGAAAGCAAATGTCCCAGATCCTTGTCTGATATTAGTCCATTGAGAATCGCAAGTCGTAGAATCTCCTGGGAATGAGGACCAGGCAACTAACTGCAGGGTTTGGGGAGGGTCGTAAGTAATGGCTTTCTTCCCCTTCCACATTCAGAAATAACTCAGACATAAGAGACGGAATGGAAATTAAAGTGTCAGCTTCTCTACTGATGAGATGGTGTCTTAGAGCTGAGTCTGTCCTCCTCCCCTTCTCAGTCCAGACCTTCGGTCACCGTTTCCTTATCCTGATCCCAGGCAGTGAGGAAAGAAAAAGAATGTGAATCCTCACAGCAGAAGCCCTCTAATGAGAAAAATGAGCCTTTGGATGTCACCTGCCATAACATATGTGGGGACCAAAACTTTAAAGTGAGTAAAATGAAGGATCGTGTTATTGGCAGGGCTAACAAGAAAAATTATCTTTTGCTTGGTTTGGACCATCGATAAAACACAAAGGTAAAGGTAGTGACACTTGTAATTTCCCAGTTGACTGGACATAGAACCAAGAAAAGCATCAATGGCAGTCACTTCTTATACCCTGTCTCCCCTCCCATCAGGAAAGAATCTTAGCCTATTCCATCCGGAACAAGGGACAGGCATAGGATGGAAATCAACAAGCCTACTCAAGTTTGCATGCTCTCAAAATTCATGTTAGCACAGAATTTTATTGAAATTCCTTCCTTTTCTGGAAGAGAATGAGGAAAGGGTGGGCAGAGGCGAGGGGCAGTATCTGGAAGACGTTTCTCCACAGAGAAACATGGGTCGAGGAGGCTCTGGTCCACTAACAGCAAAACTAGCCAAAAAGGGGTCCAATGCCTCCCAGGGCCCTGGGATGCCTGATCTACAGGTAGCTCATCATATGTGTGAAAGGCAGGCCAAATACACACCAAGAAAGGAAATCCAACAGGTTGTATCATGCACTGACTGCACCAAGCCCTAAGCCCTAGGCCATGTACTGGGAATGCACGGATAAATTCATACTCAGGGTGACTGGCAAATTACAGCTGGGGCTAAGACCCCACCGCTACCACAATTTAAGTTTTAAAAACTCTAAAACTTAAAGAGTTTTATGGTATGATACACGACTACTTTGGGGGATAAATGTAGAATCTCTTTCACCAGAGTCTCTTCTCCGCTACCCAAACATATTCCAGGCAATCTGCTGAATTGAGGGAATCAGTAGAGAAGGAAACAGAGCCTTCACGGAGCCTTACATTCCACCATACATTCCGACTCTGCTTTTAGAGAACAGCCTAAGACTGGCTCTACTCTACCAGAGAAAATTCTGGATAACCTGTAAAGTCCCTTCTACTCTGTGATTCTTCTTTAACTTTCTCTGCCTCTTTGAGTTTTCCTTCTCCTATATTTGATGTGCTGCTGTCAGCTTCCTGCTGGTAATGCTGGATTCAGAGCAGGTATCCACTCAGCCTGGAACCTGCCACTGACCCCTCAGCGGGCTGGGCTTGGTGGCTTTGTGCTCTGCCCTTGGCACATTGTGTGGCCTTCTATCAAGGAGCGACCCTCACTTTAAGTTCCTTGAGGGCAGGGGCAGTTTCTTAGTCAACTTCACACTGCCAGCACCCATCACAATGCCTGGGACAAAGTCAACACTCAGTAAATATTTGTTGCACTAAACAATCCCCCTGACCAAAATTAATTAAGTTTGTGCTACAGTTCCTAGGAAGCTCCAAATCTCAAAATTCCAAGGACAGATTAAGGATAAAACTCCAAATAAGAGCAAGGCCTGGGAGGGCGGGCTCCGTCTCGCGGGGCGTCTGTGACTTGCAGAGCGCCCTGGGGGGAGGCGTGGGATACTGGGAGCGGAGACACTTAACATTATTGGACTGCCAGGAATTTCACGGAACCTGCAGCGCAGTAAACGGACACCACGTGCCGGGGCGTGTTTGGGGTGGATTTTCGGGAGTCCCAGGCTCCCGGCCGGGGCTGGGGGACCTGCGCGTCGCCCGCCGCGCT